TTTGCCCGGGGATTTTTCTCCATCAGAAAAGAGACAGTGGCAAGAATGTCATCAAAATCTGTATCACAGGCGATAAGATATTACCAGTAGGGCATTTCCAAGTTGTCTATTGCCTCTGTGTCAAAACAAGTCTTTGTGCAAAACCATTCATATGAAAATGAGTTCTGCCTACTTGTCTTTTTCATGCAAATCCAAGTTATTTCCATGTGAAAGGTTTCACTTGAGGACTCGTTTTGAAATTGAGCCACAAGGTAACTCACAAATGGCCTATTACTGTATCATGGGGGACCTAATATTAACTATGAGCATGAAATTCAACAGGAGAAATAATACTAGCCTTTAAAAGACAAATCATTTGCTTAAAGAATTATAAGGCATGTTCAGAAATAATTCAATCAGCTAACAAGATAATCTACTGTCTGCATGAATTGTAGGTATATGATGCTAACTGATTTATTGCCTACCTCTCTACACACATTAGGACTGAGGCTGAATAAATTCTCAACTGGATCTCTAAATGCATTGCATGAAGTTATCAGATGATTCTCTGATCAAAATGTTAGTTGAAATTACACCCTACTTGTACTGATCATTATTTCTTAAATCTGACATTCCTGTAAAGATCTCCAGAAAGGTTCTTTTTGTCATTGGACATTTGGGCAAATACGTGGTAGAGCTTGCAGAATTTCTCACTACATACCATTTCTGGTCATGTACAAACTAGTGGTGAAATTACCTTTGGTGTCATAGAAGCAATCTGAACCAAGAATTATGTCAGCCTTATTAAGTTTGAATAGATTTGGTGTGAACTGTCCCCAAGTGATTCCCACAACTTTGACAAAGTCATGACCATTTGCGCAGCAGCTTTGCCTGCAATTTTCCAGGCACTCAGGGTAGTCCTCCTTATCTGTAAGAGTGACATGTGCACCGCACAGCGAAGCAACCAATCCAGGAAGTGCTGTTCCTGCACCAATCTATGAGACAATCAAATTGTCATTTAAAAATACTGTAATTGTATTCAGACATGATAAAAATATTAAAACATTTGTTTTCATTGACTAAAAAAAGGGTTGATTTGGATGTTTTGGTTAAAATACTGTCAGTAACATTCTGCAGCATAAAAAACAAGAAGATCTGTTAGATCTTAAAACCGCGCTTTTAAAATTTAACTATTTTCTTAGCACT